GAGTCAGAGGGCAAACCAGGGAAGTATACTTTTTAGGAAAACTAATGTGAAAAGTATTTCAAGAAGGAAGACGGGTTAACTGTAAGAAGTCAAATCAATAGTGCTTTCAAAATTCGAAGTTAGCCTGGTGATGGGTATTAAGGAGCACACATAACTGCATGGAGCACTGGGGCTTGTATGAAAACAATGAAGCGTGGATCACTGCATCGAAAACTGGTGATGTATTGTATGGTGACTAACATAACATAATAAAATAAAGTAAAATAAAAAGTTAACCAAAGTCCAAAAGTAAGCAGAAGAGAGGGAAATGTATTTGCAAATTATATAACAAAGGATTACTATTTAGAATATAATAAATAATCAGAAATTAAAAAAGAAAAATACAATAAGGTTGTCACACAAAGCACCAAATATGTGAAGGTGCAGTTTCTACAAGGATAAATATATGTCAACACTTTTAAATTAGTCAATAACTAACTTAAAATAGGTTCAACTTACCAAATCTTCTGGAAAATGCAAATTAAGTGACAGAGCATTTCTGTAATTAGCAAAATAGTAAAAGAAAAATAATGTATAGTGTTGATGAAAGGAAGGAGTAGAGGCTACTCTCACAGCCTGCTGATGAGACTGCAAATCACTGCAGTATTCTGGGAGGTCGATCTTACGAGAAACCTAATATTTTTAAGCGCACATATATATCAATAGAGCAATTTCACTTTGGATAGCTATCTAAAATAAATACATATACACAAAGAAATATGTTCAAGGGCATTAAAAACAATGCAGTTAGATATAGCAAAAGATTGGTAACACTTACATATTCACTGATAGGAAATTAATAAATTTTAACACACTTATGGAACAGTTAAAGAGAATGAGTTAGATCTAAATGTTCTGAGGTGCAATGATCTTTAAAATACATTCTTAAGGGATAAAAAGCAAGGTGCAAAAAAGTACATATAAAATGACCCCATTTATATAAAATAAAGGAAATAAGAAAGTGGTCCCGTTTCATACTTTTGCATGTGGCTGTCCAATTTTCCCAACACCATTTGCTGAAGAGACTGTCTTCTTCCCATTGTATAGTCATTCCTCCTTTGTCAAAGATAACTAAACTCAGAATGGAGGAAAGACCTATATGTGAGACCTGAAACCACAAAAATCCTTGAGAGCACAGGCAGTAATTTCTCTGACATTGGCCATAGCAACCTTTTCCTAGATATGTCTCCGGAGGCAAGGGGAAAAAAAGCAAAAACAGGGATGCCTGGGTGGCTCAGTCAGTTAAGCATCTGCCTTCAGCTCAGGTCATGAACCCAGGGCCCTGAGATCAAGTCCCACGTCGGGCTCCTTGCTCAGTGAGGAGCCTGCTTTTCCCTCTGCCTGCCGCTCCCTCTGCTTGTGCTGTCTCTCTAACAAATAAATACATGAAATCTTTTTTAAAAATAACAAAAATAAACTATTGGAACTATATCAAAATAAAAAGTTTTTGCACAACGAAGGAAACAACAAAACTAAAAGGCAATCTACTGAATGGGAGAAGATTTTGCAAATGACATATCCAATAAAGGGTTAGTATCCAAGATATATAAAGAACTTATATAAATCAAAAACCAAAAAACAAACCCTCCAATTAAAAAATGGGCAGAAGACATGAACGGACATTTCTCCAAAGAAGACATCCAGATGACTAACAGACACATGAAAAGGTGCTCAAACATCACTAATCATCAGGGAAATGCAAATCAAAACTAAAATGAGCTGTTACTTGGGCGCCTGGGTGGCTCAATCATTAAGCATCTGTCTTCGGCTCAGGTCATGATCCCAGGGTCCTGGGATCAAGCTCCGCATCGGGCTCCCTACTTGGAGGGAAGCCTGCTTCTCCCTCTCCCACTCCCCCTGCTTGTGTTCCCGCTCTCGCTGTGTCTCTCTCTGTCAAATAAATAAATAAAATCTTAAAAAAATAAATAAATAACTAAAATGAGCTGTCACTTCACACCTGTCAGAAAGGCTAATATCAAAAACACAAGAAGCAACAGGTGTTGGCAAGGACGTGGAGAAAAAAGGAACCCTCATGCACTGTTGGTGGGAATGCAAACTGGTACAGCCATTCTGGAAAACAGTATAGAGGCCACTCAAAAAGTTAAAAACAAAGCTACCCTACGATCCAGTAATTGCACCACTGGGTATTTACCCAAAAAATACAAAAACACTAAATCACAGGGACCTATGCACCCCTATGTTTATTGCAGCATTATTTACAATAGCCAAACTATGGAAGCAGTCCAAGTGTCCACTGATAGATGAATGGATAAAGAAGAAGTGGTATATTATTCAGCCATAAAAAGAATGAAATCCTGCCATTTGCAACAACATGGATGGAGCTAGAGAGTATAACACTAAGCAAAATATGTCAGTCAGAGAAAGACAAATACCATATGATTTTACTCATATACGGATTTCAAGAAACAAAACAAATGAGCAAAGGGAAAAAAGAAAGAGACAAACCAAGAAATAAGACTGTTGACTATAAAGAACAAACTGATGGTTACTAGAGGGGAGGTGGGGAGGGAATGGGTGAACCAGGAGATGGGGACTAAGGAACGTACGTATGATGATGAAAAAAATAATAATAATAATAAAATGAAATGAACAAAGGGAGAGGAATCTATGAGTGTGTATGTTTTTATGAATGTTTGTAAATGCATTTAAAAAATCACCAGACTAGTTTTAATTGTCTCTGAGGTGAAGGGTAGGATCAACAGGATTAAAGCTGATTTTACTTTTGATTGTTTAGGTTTTATATTTCTTGAATGCATCTCATTTTGTTGATGTCCTGCTTAAAGGATTTTTAAGAAAAACATGCATTGTTCTTAAGTGGTGCTCATACAATAGATCTAGAGAATTAACTGTATGCTTTATTAATTTATTCATCAAGAGTGTAAGTTCCTATTGTACATCAAGCAACATATTGGGCATCTGGTATGAAGCAGTGAATGAAACAGGCAGGATTCCTGTCCTTGCAAAGCTTACACTGTAGTGGATTCAGGCTTCAGTCTTCTCTGTGTCGGCTCCCCCATGCGTAAAAGATTCCTTACCTCCCCCAGAAAAGTATCTCCAATCAACTTCCTGCACTTTTCATTACCTCATGCAGAAATACAAAAACTAAAATATGGAGAGTACATCCACAGGCCGGCTCGAAACCACCATCTCCGCTTTACAAACCACCGCAGGTTCCCAAATGCAGCAGGGGTAAAATACCGTGTCAGTAAAATAGGTCTCTTGGGTTGCCCTTGGAGCCCCCAAACACTTTCTGTGACTGTTTCTATGGGGAAAAATGTCCCTCCGGTTCTGAACAACTGACTTGGCAAAGGCACCACTAGAGCATACTCTGTGAGCTGTTGACTGCCTGAACTCAGGCAACTGCTAACTCAGACAGCTTTTAGGCCCCCACACAGAAGTTCCTGCGCACACACTTTATGGTTGGATTCTTCCTATGACCCTCGCTTAAGGCACAATAATCAGGAGAGAACACCAGCCTATAGAAGTAGCCTTGGAGGCCCCCCCACCAGTTGGAATCTCAACACCAGACTAGGCTTTAACTACAAGTCTGCCCGCACTAGTAGCAGTAAGCAGTAAATTGAATTCAGGCTTCTGAGCAGTCTCTGAGGCAAAGTGTTTATATTTCACTGCAAACCCTATTTTCTCTTTTCTTTTTTTATACATGCAAATGAAAATTCCCCAATTTTCAGCTGCCAGGACAGCTGAATACTGTCATCAGAAAAACTAAATGCTTGTGTCAAAGAAGGAACTGCTTTTTAGAAATTCCTGTGCATCTCGAGGCAAAGAAAAAAATGCTGTTGACAATTTATCTTTGCTACAGGATGAATATACTTATTTAACACATGGTTTCTCATGGCTGAGAACGACTCTAGCCCAAGGGAGCCAGAAAATTCTCAGGGTTCAGAGAGAGGCATCATGACTGCTCCAAAGTTACTCCCACCTCCATCAACCCAGGTGACCTTGGATAAACCACTTGACCTTCCCGTGCGCTTTCACATTCCATTTCTTTCCTCATGCTGCTCAATTTGCTAGAATGGCTTCCTTGATCTCTCCTCCAAGTCTCAAATTCTTAAAAAATGCTGTCCTCTGAAGCCTTTCCTGATTTTCTTAAGCCAAATCAGCTTTTTTCCTCCTCAGATTCCCTTTCTTGATTATCCATAACTTCATTATATCATTTATCACGTGGTATTACTGTTGCACATTTATCCTATTTATTTCATTTATCACGTTATTTTGTGGCCATCTTGGGTATCAGGCCATATGTTATTACTACTCCTCCTACTAATCATATTAATAACATTGTTAGGAGAATTATGAGTACTTACTATGTGTCAGGCCCTAAAAAAATACATTATCTCTAGCTGTCACAAAAGCCCTATGAGATGGATGTTACTACCTTTTTTTTTTTTTTACAGTTGAGTAAAATAAAACCAAGAGAGATTATACAAAGGGTTAGCAGTGGCACTGAGAGTCAAAATAGAGTTCTATTTTACCTTAAAGCCCACGCTTTTAACCACTACTGCAAAACACTACCTATAAATAATAATAGATAATATTTGCTAAGTGCTTACTAGGTGTTGGGATCTGTACTATGTGCTTTACACACATTAGCTAATTTGATCCTCCCAAAAACCCTGTGACGAAGATACTGTGATTGGGATCTCAAATTTTTAAAAAAATGAAATTGAAGTTCAGTGTGGTTAAACGACTTGCCCAAGGTCAAAGAACTGTGGAGGCTAGATTTGAATAAAGGCCAGTCTCCCCCAGAGCCTGAGTCCTTATCCACTATTCTACTTCATGACCAGAGAGTAGAATTTTCTTTATTCTTTGTAAACACTGCACAGGTTTTCAAGAACAACCCCCTGGAAACAAAACACTGGAGAGGTACCTGTTTGGAGTCTTGCAAATAAACAAAATCTATCAAGCCCCTAAGCACTCACCTTAGCACATGTGTGGATCCATTAATGGTTGTGGTTGAACAGGGGACAGTCTGGCCCAGAATGGAGGGTCTTCGGTAGCGCTCATCATCACAGCAGAGGATGATGAGGAAGGCACGTCTAAAAGACTTATTCAAGAAGGCGTAGAGAAAGGGGTTCAACCCAGAGTTGATGTAACCAAGCCAGAGGAAAGCGGTCCACACCTGTCCAGGAACGGTGTAGTCTATGAATGGATCCACGATATTGGTGACAAAGAATGGAGCCCAGCAGAGGCAGAAGCAACCCATGATGATGCACAAGGTCTTAGCTGCTTTGGTCTCTGTCCTCATGCGATGAGTGCTGTGCTGGTCGGCTGGCTGGGGCCTGCCTTCTGAGGAGGCTCCTGCCCGTTGTAACATCTGGATCTGGTGGGCATGCTCCTTCGCTGTGACGTAGATGCGGTAATAGGCCAGCACCATGAGGAGAAACGGGATGTAGAAGGCCACCACAGAGCAGGTGATGGCATAGGGCTTGTTGACCATGAAGATACAGTACGTAGAGTTAGAGTTCTGGTTGAACTTCCTTTTTTCTATCTGAGAGTTGGAGGGAGAGAATAAATGAGGAAAGAAGGGAGAACGGGAAGGAAAAAGTGAAGAGAAAGAAGCAGGAGGGGAAGGAGGAAAATTGTGAGAAAAGAAAAAGGATGAAAAAGCAAAGGAGGGATTGGAAAGCAGAGAGAAAAGGCGGGGAACAAGGAAGGGCAGGAAGGAAGGGGAAAACACAAGAGGAAAAAGAGGAGGAAAGAGAGAAGAAGGTTTATCAGCCAAGTTCTCTTTTCCTAATAAGCCTATAGCGCATAGAACCACGAAAGTAGAAAGGAGTATGATTGCATCCCGGGGGCAGAGGGACTGTCTCTGCACAAGGGGTTGCAGGCCCCAGGGAAGAGGAGAGATAACATAGGGACAAAATCATCCTTCAATCTCCGTACCCAACCGAGAGCGGACTTAGCGTCTCCTCCCTTCCCCCTCTGCCTGCACACCATATATCTGGTAGTAAAAGTCTTTGAGCTGTGGCCCGTCTCCTTCAAGACTGTTCTTATATCTCAGCATTTCCTATATAAAATTTAGAATTAGCTTATCAATTTCCATACAGATCTTTGGGGATTTTGATTGGAGATAAGAGTAGAATGATTGAGGAAAACGGACTTCTTTCCCATGGTAAGCCTTCCATTTCACAAACATGGTAATTCTTTCCTTTACTTAAATCTTTTAAAATGTGTTTCAGTAATATTTTACAATTTTTTTCTGTGAATGTTTTGCACATCTTTTGTCAGATTTATTCCTAAGTATTTGACTTGCTATCCTATTGCAAATGCTACAGCCTTAAAGTCCTTAATCCTAATTGTTTGTTGTTGGTAGGTAGAATTCGGTGAAAATTTTTTGTATGGCAACGTACCCAGCAACGCTGTTAAATTTGTTATTAATATTTCGTCTCTAGATTCTTATTAATTTTCTTGATAACTACCCATCTGATCTCCAAATAATAAAAATTTCACTTCATCCTTTCCAATCTTAATCCCATTTTTCTTGCATTATTGAACTTGATAAGACCTCAAGTGTAATCCTAAATAGAAGGGGTAATAGTGGACACCATTTTACATTCTCAGTTTTAGGAGGGGAGTTTCAATATTTTACTATTAAGTATGATACTTGCTGGACGTTTTTTATGGATGCTCTCTTCTATTTTTAGTTTGATGAGAATTTTTTAAAATCATGGATACTGAATTTTGTTAATGAATTTTTGGCAGTAAAGAGATGATCATGTGGGTTTTCCCTCTTTCTTTTATTAATATGGTGAATTACAGTGATTGTGTTGCATTCCTGGAATAAGCCTCCCTAGTATTAGATACTGTGATACACTGAATCTCTTTTAAAGATTGAAAGACTTTTCTCCCTGCCATAAACTCTGTCTGCTGACAGCTCTGAGTTATCAGCCCTGCCTAGGAATAGCGTCCGCCCACATCCAGTGTGAACATACACATGAACAAATGTATGAATAACATATGATACACACGTATGGTATTTTATTTGTGCGTTTTTTAGTGTCTTGTCTCATAGCATATTATAAGATTATAGTATATCTTCCTATTGAATTGACCTTCTTCTCATAATGAAATATTCCTCTTTACCTCAAGCAGTATGACTTGCCTTAAATGTATTTTATCACTGATACCTAGTACAGCTACACCAGCTTTCTTCTGATTAGTGTTTGCATATTATATATTATTATATGTATAATAACATATATATTATTTTATATCAACCTTACCGTCACCTTACATTTCGTGGGCCTCTCTCACAAGCAGCATATATTATGTATTGACTAGGTGATGAAAATATTGTGACCAGAACCTGCAGGAACCTAACCCTGTATTTCTCCTAGGAGCAAAGATTTAGTATTTGCTAATTCGGTGCTTGTGGCAACTTTATAGAACCTACTTACCGCGAATGGTGAGAACCAACTGCATCTGTATTGTGAACACATGGGTTGTGCTAGCTTCTCTCTAGGCCAATTCAATGTGCAGGTGAGTGGAAAGATGCGATGCCATCACAGCATCATGGAGCAAATAGTAGGCATGTTCACAGCAAGCAGATGCCCCATTCCCCAGGTGCATGAAGTAAACAGGGGATGCCTCTATCTCCCTCCCCAAATGGACAGCAATTCCATTCTCTAATTTATTTCCCTTAGAAACTCTATATCCAAAGGTAAGACTGCTGCACTCTTTTGAAAAGTTCCCATGCACGAAACCTTATGCTTCCAAATGTCTTCTCCATTAGGGAGTACGTTTAGCACAGAGATTAAGAGCGTAGACTCCGGAGTGCAGCAAGCCTGGGCTTAGCCAGAGTCACCACCACTCCCTGCCAATCTGACGCTAGCTAATAATTTAAGCTCTCTGATGCTCCGTTTCCTGACGGCAATGATAGGATCAACCTCATGGCATTGTTGTGAGGCCTGAGGGAGGTTTCACAGAAATGATGATTAAGTGAACCTGGACTCGGCAAACAGTAAGTGTTCAACATTGGTTGGTCATAATTATTACTCTGCTGGTCATCGGAAACTTGAATTTCATTTCCCTTGAGAATGGTGAAATTGGAAGTTTGAAAGAAGAAGGATAGAATTCAAGAAAATATCCATACAGTCTCCCTGGTATGAATCCCCTTTTACTTCTCCACTCCTTTGTCCCCAGCATTTCTTTCAGAAGCCCAAGGAACTCTTGTTCTGACATACCACATGCAAATCCTGGCCCAGCCTTGGCTTGGATATCCTTTCCTGGACAAAGAACAAGGCAAGATTAGGGGCTGGGAATGTGGTGGAGAGAAGAACAGACAGCTCCTACTCTAACTGGTCTCTTTGGGCTGGAGCCTGCTCTCAATCTCTCATCTCCAGTCCCCTTCCTACCTCAACATAGTCCCCACTGCAAAGTGACTGCCTGACAACCACCTTAGGGAATAGATATCGCTGCCAGTGAACCCCCACCGTAACTTTTGATCTTCATTGCAACTTTGGTACTATCATCATAGTGTGTCAGAGCCGGAAGGCTCTTGAAGATCACCTGAACAGGGGCTGGCAAACACCTGGCGCGCATGCTGCTCTCCGACACCCCTGCAAGACACACTCATCCACTGAAGACCAATGCACCTTCTCACTGCAGTCCTTCAGGGTCAGGGACAGAGCTGGGCTCACGGTCCAGTTCTCTCAACTCCTGGCCCAGAGTTCTCTTCATTTTCTGGAAGCCTCCACCCATGTGACATGTTTTCTGCTGGTCACTGGAAGCCGTGAGATAAGATGAAGGCCTCTTGGGGCACCTCACATACCTCAGGTTCTGTAGTCTGAACGCTAAGCCTTTGAGTACCTGTTCTGCTATGTACTGGGCATGTTATTTCACCTTTTGGAGCCTTACTTCTCCCACCTGGATGAGATGAGAGAAGGATGTTTTCAGGATTCTATGTAAAGTCTGAGCGTCCTTTCTGGCGCACAACGAACATTCCAAAATGTTAGCTTGCATTTTCTTGTTGTTGTTGTTGTTACTGCTGTCACTCCAACCACTATCAGAATCTTTCTTAAAATAGCCACCCAACCTGATATTATTTGTTTATTTAGAATCCCAAGCAAATAAACTCCACCAGAGAGTAAACCAGCAGGGTCTGCACAGGTACTCACCAAATCAATTATGCCAATATTATTCCAGCCTTGCATTATAGGGAGAAAAGAGATAAACATGGGGATGACCCAGCAGCCTCCCAGCATTAATGCGATGCGCAGAGGGGTCATCTTGTTCCTATAGACCAGAGGCTGACAGCAGATGGCATAATACCTGGAGAGAGAATAGAAGGTGTGGGTGCCACGGGAAAGGAGGAATGAGAGGGAGAAGGAGGGAAGAATGATTGAGGAGAAAGAAGAGTGGAGAAGGAGCAGAGAGGAGAAGGGGTGTAAGAAGAGGAAATATTGGGAAAGAGGAAATCAGAGGGGGGAGTAAAGAAGAAAAATAAAGAAGGAATAAAAGAGAAAATAATGGGGGGAAAGCAGAGAGAGTGGGTAATGGAGGAAGGGAAGATGACACCAGGAAAGGACAGAGGAAAGAAACAAGGAATTACATAAGGAGATGTGATATTGGCCCATGAGTTCTGCGGACATAAATATCTGCCTTAGATCACATCTGAGAGTCACTGTTGGAGTTGGCCCCATATCCCTCTTCCTCTCCCTGTCGCTGAGAATCTTGATACACACCTGAGGGTCTGCTCTGTCTCAGGCTTGGTTCCAACACTTACCTTCCTGCCTGGGCACTTCGGAATCTTCTGTCCAACCCTCTGGACCACAGCGTCCAGGCATCCGTGGCCCCTTTTGACAACAAGGTGAAGTCTCCCAGGTTTGGCCCTACATCTGAGCTCTAAGGACTGGATCTCAGATTTGCCCCCATCCTCTTGGTCATCTGGTTATCCTGAGGTGGAGTTCTAAGTCAGTGTTCCAGAGACTCCACTCTTCTCCCCTGCATCAGACTCACCTGAGGAGGCCTATTTAAAATGCAGATTCCAAGGATCTCCTGAATCAGAGTCTGTTGGGGAAGGAGTTTGCATTTTCACAAGTGGAAGTCATTGCGGCTGCTTGCTAAGTATGTCCAGCTCCCCCTTCTGGGCACATGGGCTTCCTGGCCTCATTGTGGTTGGATGGAGCCAAGTGATTGGTCTGGCCAAGGAGTTGTAAACAGGGTTGACATGCATTACTTTTGGACTAGGCCATTTAATTGTTTCTTTGATGCCAAGAATGTAAAATTTCAAATATTCCCTGCTCCATCATGTCCTACCTACTGGTAGAGACCACCTCGCCCTCATTTATCAGGCTCTGCTCTCCCTCCTGGGACTCACTGCTTACCAGTTTTTGAGTCCATGTTCTGCCAATGTACTAGCTTTCTTCTTTCCTCCATATAGAGATGCAACCTGCTCCACTCAGTGATCTGGTCTCTAACTCCCAGACTGCTTCTTGCATGTTTTTCCAGTCTTGGAGATCACCACTCCCACGCCCAGCACTTCAGGGAATTTGACAACAGGCAAAACACTCCAGTAGACCTATCGGGTATTTGTCTTTGGAAGTGTCAAAGAATAAGTGCAAACAGAAAGCCTGGGTGATAAGTCTATTCTTTAAGATTTTATACCATTTAATGATGAGACACCCCCATATATCCCTCATTTTATGCAATCTGCTTTAATTTTTCCCACCTCTTCTTTTCTTTTCTTAATTCAAAGCATAACTAACATAACAATGTTTCGTGGGTGAAACTTTTCTCCCTATATTCTTTGAAGAGGTGGTGGTAGGATGAGTTGGGAAAGAGGGTGGAATAAGGAGAGCCCCCTCAGTGTTGGAACATGAGAAGTGGGTGCCTCAGGAGCTGAGAGGGGAGAATTATACATTTCTCTCCAAGGCATCAGGAAGCAGCTGACCATAACGTGCCAGGAGGCTTTCTGTGGCAACACCAGCGGGTGTCCTGATCTGGATCAGAGTACAGGGAACAACAGACCAAAGAATGGGAGAAAGGCTCACTTGGGGGAACTCATTTTCTCTATCTCTAAAACTGACATGGTAGCAAAACATAACTGAAGATAGTGCAGTAAAGGAATCATGATTCGCTGGAATTCCCTCCATGATCTTGACTTATAAGAAAGGCAAATCATATCAGAATGACAAATTTTTCTGAGTGGCTGTATTAATAATCATCAGGGATTTATTACGTACATAGAATTAATCATGCATTTGGAGTATATGAAAATAATTTTTTTTCCCAAATTGTGCTCCCTTCCTCATTTCCTGCTAGAGGGTCTAAATTAGACATTTGGTTTTATCCATTTAGCATCCTTCCTCCTTTCTTTTGGTAATAGCATCCCAAAGCCTTTGGGAATTATCTCTTCTCTGTTGCTTTCGTGTTGTTGGGAGAGGAAATGATGGCGCTCCCAACTTTTCCGGCCACATAGTGACCCAATCAGACTTTCTCCTGGGACTCTGAATGCCATGTGGAGTGATGCAAAGATGGGGAAGTCAGTGGAGGTCCCTTGATACAGCAGCCTCCTAATGGGGCTGGGGGTAGGTCCTGCCTGCTCCTTGGATCGTTGGGCAACCATGCTCTTGCCTTTTTAGGTCTTCTTACTTCAGCTGTTCCTTCAATTAAGTCACCACATATCTTTCCAATAAATTCCTTTTTTGTTTAAGCTGGTGTCACAGATTGAGTTGTGTCCCCTCTCCCTTTCCTAACAGATATGTTGAAGTTCTAACCCTCAGGCCCTTGGAGTATGACCTTACTTGGATACAGAGTCTTCACAGAGGTAATAAAATAAAAATAAGGCCATTAGTGTGGGCCTTGATCCAATATGGCTGATGTCCTTAGGAAAAGGGAAATTTGGACACAGATTCAGATATGCTCAGAGATGGAGGACTGGAATGATGACTCTGCAGGCCAAGGAACACCAAAGACTGCCAGCAAACCACCGAAAGCTAAGAAGAACGAAGGAAAAATCCTTCCCCTACAGGTTTCAGAGGAAGCATGGCTCTGCTGACACCATGACTTCAGACTTCTAGCTTCCAGAACTGTGAGACAATACATACCCTGTTCCAAACACCCAGTTTGTGGTACTCGTTATGACAGCTCCAGCAAACTAACAAAGTTGGCGAAAGTCAGTCTCTTGCCAGCAAAGTTTCCTACCTCAGTAAAAATGGTTTTGAATGTCAGACATGTCCTTCATAGATACTTTGTTCTAAGCGAGAATATCTTTGTTTGATTCAGTATACTTTCAAATCATAGCTCAAAGTTATAACATCCCTTCATCTACCATCCCAAAGAAGGCGATTAAGGGCTAAGTGAAGAACGGATGTTTCCCTATCTTTGCTGTATAATTTATGATTTTTGAGGTTGGAACAGATGTTAAGTGAAGACAAGATTTCAGGAATTTTGGTTGGATCTCCAATGTTCCAGAAATCCAAAAGTTCAAAAGACAAGGCAAAACTAAGTAACTTGTGGGACAAAAGGTAAGTTTGAGGAAGCAGGATATCTTAGCTGCAAAGAGTCTTTAAACTTTCATATGTGGATACAGATATTTAGAGGGTCATGTTGGGAAGACAACAGAATTTACAGAAGGAGACTTTAGAATATATAGTTATATTGGTGCTCAGAACATTTTTGTGAAAGTCTTTCTAAGTCTTGCTTGGCCAGGGTGATTGCCTGATGAATTGCATGATGAATATCCTGTGCACAATAAAATCTCCTCATGTTCAAAGTGGGTGGAAGGATGGGCAAAATAGGTGAAGAAAGATTAAGGGATACAAACTTCCAATTATAAAAAAAATGAGTCATGGGACTGTAAAGTACAGCATAAAGAATACGGTCAATAATATTGGAATAACTATATATTGGAATATATGGTTGGAATAACCAGAATTATTGTGGTGATCATTTCATAATGTATGTAAGTGTCAAATCACTATGTTATACATCTGAAAGTAATATAATATTGTATGTCAACTATGCTTCAATAAAAAATAGTTAATTAGATTTTTTTTTAAATGATCTCTCCATGGTCTGCTGGTCCAATGTTCTCACTTTATTTGCATTACCCTTGGTTACTAGGAGCTCCTGCCACAGAGAAGTAAATAGTGGTGGCAGATTTCCTTTTGAAGTTCAACTTCAAGGGGAATACTGTGGATGTCATACACATTTTACCGATCTTTTCCCCATTTGATCTATGCAGTCAGTATGCTGGACAATGGATGCCTGAAAGAAAGTTGCTTGGATAGCTCATTCCACAGGGGCTCAGGTGGGATACATCCGTGGTCTCTTGCACAGATAGTTGTCGAAAGTTACTCTTGCATGATGTGGGGTGGTTGGGTAAGCCTGAGAAAAGTCCTTTATCTCCTACTTTAAAAATCAGCAATCAGTACAAGGAAAAGAAGAATTTTATTTTTATTTAAATTGGATTGGCTAAGTTGCAAGGGATATGTAAGGATGAATAAGAAAAATACCAAATTTTGTCTAGATATCTGTTTGACTTGAATCTTCCCCTCTACATCATATTCAGCCTGATGCTGTCTTATGATAGACATAATTTGATTTTTAAGTGGCATGGAGTAGAAAATATGAGGCTTTTATTTGGAGCTCAGATCATAGCAGCCACTTGACTGCTGGGTTCGCGATTCTTACCCAGGCTTTGGCACTCTTGAGGCAGGTGCCCTGAATAAGCCACAGTGTATGCTTCTATCCTTCCTGATAGCTTTTGAATCTTTGCTTTCTAGCCATGAATCGAGAAAAATAAACATCCTTTTGAAGTCTGCATTCAAGAATCTAAATTAAGCAGGTGAAGATAAACATCACTGAATAAAATGATTAACAAAAATTGAGTCCAAGTGTTAATTGACTAATGGAGTTTCCTTAAAAATTCTAACCTTTGTCTACGGATCAGGGACCAGACAGAAATCTAATAACTTGACTGTTATCTGTCATGGTTGCTTTTTAATTCCTATACTTGAATTATATTACCCCTGCAAATAACAAAAATATTTATCCTTTCATGAACTGCCCCCAAAACACACATAACAACACCACTAGGCAGAAGTAGCTGACTTAATAGTTACTATACATTTACTTACCAAGGGCTCTCCCTGTATTATCTCATTTAGTCCTCACAACTACTCTTGAGACAGGAACTATAAAGGCACCCATTATGTAGATGAGGAAACAAACACACAGAAATCTCAGAATGTGCCCAAGGTAAGAGCTGAGCTGGGATCTAGTCCAGGCAGTTGGACTCAAGGACCAGAACGTTAATTTCATCACTA